TCGTTATTGACAAAGTCGACGTTGAATATTCACCAAGTCCACATACACTTAGTTATGATTTAGATTTATGGAGACCATCAATAAACGAGTATCAGTGGAATAATGGCGTAAAGAGTAATTCTAAATGAAAAAGCAAATCGAAAATAAAGAATAAAACTTGGAATCTTTGTTATGGAGAAAATGAATATTCAATATTCCCCAAGCACACCCACACTTAGCTATAACTTATATACACATATGGGCACCATAATACACTAGTATCGGTGATAAAATGGCAGAGAAGATGACTCTACATGAAAAAGCAAATTAAAAATAAAGAATAAAACTTTATCCTTCGAATCTTCGTTATGGAGAAAATTAACATTCAATATTTCCCAAGCACACGCGCTATACAGCACTGTACAGGAGACATAAGAGCCTCAATCCGAGAGACCCAAATTTTCCAAAATTTCATCCGACCCAATTCCCAAAAAATTCGTAACTTCACTTGAAATTCTCCTTCCTATAAATTTGCGATAATAAAAGTTCGAGTGGGGAAGGAAATCGAGTGGAAAAATTCCACTACCCTTTTCCAATGAAGCCCTCGAGTGGCCAGGTATCGTAAACGTCGATGACAAAAGGAGGCAGGAACAAAGAGAAGCGAAGTAGACGAAGACAATTAACGACGAAGACTGATCTATTGAAACGAGGGTATTTTCCATGCGACAGATCGCGATTTCGATTCATTGTTTTTCACGTGAACCTCTGTTCACGTGAACCTCAGGTTCCACTGTCTGTTGGACCAGACGTATGGAGATATCTGCCACGATCCATCTGAAACGTACTCCCTACTTTGTGTCCGTATATCCGCGAGGTTTATCGACTTTGTTACCATTTTACGACGCATCTGTATCTCGTTCCTCTTCTTTTTCAAATGACCATTCTTTTCTATCGGCGATTACAGTGGCCATTATGCATGGTTTACTTTCATTGGCCTGTGTAATGTACTTTGTCTGGTTCCTTTGTTTTTTCTCCGTTATCTTTGCTACTTTGTCATCCCTCGCTTTTTCCCAAGTTACTGTACTGTTGGATAATGGTAGAGATAGTGTCGTTGGAAACGTGGCGTAGTTTTCGAGAGCGCCATATTTACGCAGAATTTTCGCGTATAATAATCTTTCGGGGAAGAGTATAGTGAGATGGATAAAAGAAATGTAAATAATTATGTGTTATGAATACAGAAAAATAAATTAAACGAATATTCGAAATTATATACAATATTTCATTATATATGATATATAGGGTGTCTCAAAATTCACGCAAGTAATTTGGATAGAAAAGACAGATTAATAAATAAAAATTGCAAATATTGCTTAACAATGAAGACGCATTGTTCTCCATTTTTAATAATGCTCAACTTCAACTGTCACGCTGTTTCTTCTTTTTGTTGACAATGTTTTATTATACAAATGGCGCGAAATTCAAATCTTGCGAGAATTTTGGGCCATTCGATATAATTAATTTATTATTAATAATAAATTTATTAATATATTATATACTCCATGTACCAAATGTACTATTCCAGAATATCGTGATATCGAGATATCTTTTCGACAAAGAAATAGTTTGCCTTTTTGCAAAATCCTCTTTATACACGCGTTTCTGTAAACACTTGTTAGTCTAATTATAGCGCAATTACGTTTCTTTGACGAACGCGTAGAATAGTGACTTCACAGCTTCGATGATCCACATTCGAGCGAGATAATTTCGGGAAAAATCGGGGTAACAAGGATACGATGCCGATGGAAGCGTAGTACGCTGAGGAATTTTTAGCAAGATACACGCTGCAGAGGCGTCTCGATAACCGTATCACGATCACAGCTTGTATCAAGAGGATAATAAAGTCATTTCCGCCATGCGCGTTACGTCGACATCGAGACAAAACATTTCTGTTTTCGTCGATGCAGTCGTCGCACGTGCCTCCGCCATTTCTTTCTTTGTTTATGCATCGTCGATAAATAAATTCCGACAATTACCTATACTTCACCCTCTGTACTCGTCTCACTAATTTCGCTAACTTTACGCGTGGTTCATTAGGATTAAAAAGTAATTAATTTCGAATTTTTGGAAATCGTCTTCGTCGTTATATAAATATCCTAATAAATTGATAAATTATCGTACAGACATTGTAATCATCACGAGCATGATCGTGAAACTATTACGAAACTATAGTGAAACGGTTCATTGTCGATTTTCTTAATTTTCTTGCCGATTTATTGCGATTTATTGCGAATTTTGAATTCTCGGAGTCCCATTAGAAGTAGATGATCAAGGATTTTTCTTATTGTGAGATAATCGCGGTATAGTGAATCTGCGATACTATTTAAAGATCGTAAATATTGCATGGATTGTTGCGAAACAATTGCTATCGACAGAATAATTTTAGATGTCTGTGCTTGATACAAAAGAATTCGATAATCTTCGATATCTACGCGTTTTCAAGAATTTCCACGCAGATAAACGCACCTTTTATCTCGCGATTCAACCATAATCTATAGTTTCTCTTGTGCAAGAGAGCTCGACTATTATTAAATCTTTTGTTCTCACAAGTCCGCAGAAACGCGATAGCTTTGTGTAATTTTAGACCGAGGAAAAACGATATTCCTGAAATATCGCAGTAATTTAACCAGTTTATTATTAATTTATTTATTGATTTTATTCATTTTATTTTCGTTTATTTTTCTACGCGATTTCTACGATTTCCATTGTTTTCGACGTCGAGCCCCACGATTTTTGGGAATATTCCACTGCGTTAAAATTCGCAGGGTGGAAAAACCGAGGTACCTGCGGTCGAGCAATTTCCCGAATTTCAGGTAAAAATTCTGCCCGCTCCCGTTATGCCGTTTTATTGTCCCGTGTTATGGTTGTCCGTTCTTCGAGGCGTCGCCATTGTTCCGTGACGAGGGAAATTTACCGTAAACGGGAAAATTTGGACAATAACGCGCTGGAAAAATTGTTCCCTATTCCTTGTTATCATAAATATTCAATATTCTGGTAGGAGAGGTTTACAGTTCGTCTGTCTGGATCAATTAATTCCTGTTAATCCATTAATTATGCATGAACGCTCGTAAATATTCATGACGATGAGTATTTTATCCGAATAGCAAGTCTTTAATTTCCATCCTCTGTTTTTATACTGTTCCACATCTCGATTACCCTAATTTCTCACCCTATTTCCAAATTTCGAAATAACCACCCTTATTTATTTCGCGATATAATTTTTCAACTCTCAAATTTTCTAGTAATTTTCCAGTAATTTTTTAGCAATTTTCTAGTAATTTCCTAGCCATTTTAATATTTAATGGAGCTATAAATATACCAGATACAAACGACAATTACAAAGTCGTAAGCAGCAGTACAATGATAACGGTACAACGAAAATAAACAGGAGTATAACACACATTTATTATTCCCTGCTCAAAGGAAAGTTAAAATTAGCTTTATCAAAGCAGCATGTTTTCAGTAATTATAATTACACAGAAGAAAACGTCTAAAACCAGCTATATCGACTTCTCGATTAACCCTCGTGAAACGGTAACGGGATCTCTAGAGACCCTGCTTCTTTATCTATCGTGACGAAGCTGCGTGTGTCAGTATAACAATTCTGTACAACAAATTCCCATCTCCTACCATAGAGCTAGTACCATGTCTGAGCAATCTAGGTTAGTATACACCAATACCGATACACGCCTCGGAAATCCTCAATAACCACGAAGAAACCTCGGCACTAACACTTCCCTGACATCTGCATCGCAGACAAAGATCATCTCATCTCGGAACGACTTATCTCGACGAGAAACGAGAGTGACGATTAGCATAACGACAAACGCACTATCTATTTAGCGAAACGATCGTCGAAATCGGAACACGGGAACCATGACCGTGTTTACCACGACCGTCTTCTTCAACGATTACTTCTAATCGGGTCGTCGCTACGTCACGTTCATACCGAGCGTCGTTTTCGTTCAGGACAGTCGATAATGGTACATTTTTTGCGTGACACATCCGCTGCTCGATTCTCAGCTATCGATAGTCTTGTGTCATCCGCGTCGTGACCTTCTCCGCGTGATTTCCGATGCACTTGCGTGGCAATGCACTTCGACGACTCTCTGAGTCAGCCTCTGCTGACAGTCGTCGAGGAATAGATAGAACGTCGATAGAACGTCGATAGAACGTCGATAGATAGTCGATAGATCCTCGTCCATGATCCAGTTTCAATAGCACGGTGCACGCAGGATCGATGGGCTTGTTGGAATGAGGTCTGACGAGGTCGAAGGATTCGAATTTCAGTTTCAGGATGTCAATCGGGGCAGAGTCCAACAGGATTTTAATGTAGAATCCTAAGTTTGCGTGTATCTATGATAATCAGGATCGATTGGCTGCAGGAAGCTTAGACTCTTCGGCTTAGACTCGTGTTATGGCTCCTTTCATGGTTAATTGTACTTTGCAGAGAGACTGGACCCTATTCTTCGATACGTATTTATTGTGACAGAGAGTTGGTTAGGTTTGGGAATTAATCAGTAGGATTGTTTTGAGATTGGGAATTAAAAGATCTAGATGGGATCCAGAGGAAATGTTTTGTGATTGGTATGTAAGAATTGATCAGCAGTTGAGTACAGAGGCGAGGAATTTGCATTACTTATCGGCCGTGAACTTTATTGGATAAGCAGCTGTTGTGCAATCTGTTAGCATAATGAATACCGACATTTATTACGCTTCTTAAACTCGTGTACTTCTGAAGTTTTATCTTGTATCTAGCTCCTTTTTCTTCTTATATTCTTATCTTCTCGATGCTCATATTTTCCTGTCGTTCCTTCCAATTTCTACGTACTTTTTGTACTCTTTAAGGAGCACTGACCTACGTTAATCTTCTAAATTTCTATCTTTAGTTTACTAGGATTTTGTTTTTCTTATGTGATACAATTTTCTTAAGGGATAAGGTAAATATAGATAGGCTGACTTACAGAGAAGAGGGTCCAGACGCTCCTTGAAGCTCTTGTTCCTCTTCATTCTCTCTACGTCACTCTCGTCCGTCTCCAATGGCGTTTCCCACTCGGAAGAGTCATAGGTTTGGTCCTTCCTGCTGTCTCCAGCTTCCTCCCTCTCGTTCCTCTTCTCGACGTTGTCGTACGAGGAGTTCCTGTCGCTGTACAGCGACTCCGACGTGTCCGGCGGTTTCAACAGCTCTGGGTACCTATCAGATGCAGCAAAATACATAAACAAAATTGTTAAAAATTGTTTCAATCGATATTTAACTCTTCCAAGTCCTCTTTTATCCAGATATCATCCTCTTTTTTAAAATTTGTTCAATTTTGACAGTGTCATGCATTACTAAAAATCACTCAGAAGTGGAAAACATAACATTTAAAGAAGGAATTTAATTTTGTATTGTCCACAGGCTGCCAATTATATCAAAGTAATTATATAATCTAATATTAATGGCGTCGTGGTGGCCATTGCTATTGCCAAGATTACCAAAAGCTAGGTTTACTAATTTAACTAAATAATTTAAGCAATATTTGGCAAGAGTTTCACTCTTGATAAAAGATTAGCTTAACTTTGACACCTCTGTCATCATTACACTCATATACTTAGTTAATTATACTCAGATACTTTTCCAATTATATTATTTCAATTATATTTAATTTTTCTAATAATTTTGATCCCTGCGAGATATTCCATTGTTCTAGGTTCTTAATAAATGAAACAGCCCGTAGAATTGGCTTGCCGCCAGGCAACGTGTCAAAGGAGAGACCCCTTCATCCGAATTTTCTCCTTCATTCAAACAACGCCCATTATCAGCGACGCACTGGGCAATGTCAATAACGATCGCACACGAAACAGAGCCAGAGAAGAGTGAATGGACCTGGCTGGAAACTCACCGTTGGAGGATGATACTCTGAACGGTCAAAGTGTTCCCAACAACGTCCCTGTCGCACTCCTCGTCCGGAAACTTTCTGGCCACGTTGTCGCCCTCGTAATCCGCATCACAGTCGTAGTCCGGCTCGCAGTCGTCCCCCTCGTTGCCTGTGCAAGCGTTATCAGAGGTTATTATCGTTGCCCCTATCGACCTATTCCCTCTATTCGTCGTTTGGGGAGGAAGCAACTCGACTTTTCAATGAATTTTCGCTATAGTTCGCAGGGATATCGGTGAACGAGATTGCGCCTCGTAAAGCTGCGAGATAACCGATCGGGTATACCAATTCGTTCGACGTTTTCCAAGCTCTCTCGAGTGGAGATTAGATTGTATTATACGAGTCGTTGCCAGAGTAGGTTTTACACGAGGCCGATCCGTGATGATTTGACTTATCGATAAAGATCGATAAACAAAGAGTTGGCAGTAAGCTAGATCGTACCTCGGTTCGCAGTCTTTCTTGCTCCTCAAGAGTTACTTTGATCGAGTGTCGTTGAGTTTGGGGATATAGCGATTGACATATGATTGCGAGGATAAGCGTCTCCTGACTCTTGCACTTTGTTTTTCTCGTACTTGAGGATTTCATGCAGTTGTACTGGGAATAAGGTAGCATACGGATCAGTTTCTCCAATTCTCTCAATGGTACATGCAGGAGAGGTTATTGATGACAGGTTATCGATAAAAGTACGCCGGCTATAGCTCACCGATAAATTCCCAGCTAGAATCCACAGCCCAGGAAGTGTCATTGAACACCTTAGTCCTGATCTTTGGAGGTTGCACAGGCTTGGCACGCGGGATCTTCTTTGTTTCTTTGGTGCCGAGCCTCTTGGCCAGGTTATCCACAGAGGAAGAGATCAGAGGCGTCTTGTCTTCCGTTTCCTCTGTCTCTTCCCAGTCGATTGGATGCAGCTGGTTAGAATTTGCACCTACGGGTGTCTGCAGCCATCCTGGCTCGCTGTGCCGGTACTTGTTCGTTGCTGGATTGTTCCTAGGTCGTCTTCTTGGTATTATTGCTGCGTTCTGCGCTATGGCATCCGCCGGTTCCGCGTAGAAGGGACTACCCTGCTTCGACTCCGGTGTCAGGGGACTGTTGCTCTCTGATTTGGCCAGCATCAAGCCTAGCTTGTTCCTGGGAGGTGTCACTGTGCTGGGGCTGTTCAAGGAATTTGCGCTGCCTGCTTGAAAAACAGAGAACTCTGTATTAGAAGCTTTAAAATTGGCTCCTCTGCAGTAACCGAATAAAAGAATTACTATTCCTTGATCAGAGAATACCAATTAGTTTGATATGTCACTTCCCATGGATCAAAGATTTGGTCGTTAAGAGGATCATTCTTCATCTAATAGTCTCTAATCAGTGAAATAAAACGAGCGACACAGAGATGACCGATTTCCTCTGAACAGAGGAAACCAGTTACTTTGACATTTTATTTTTCATATATCAAGAGAGTGATCGGCTATCTAGATAAGCTAATTCACCGCTAAACACTCACAAACTCGGGACAACAGGTCAGGTCTCCTCCCCATTCCCGTTTCCTCCGGCGATCCGTTGTTATGATGCTCCACAGGTTTCGCCTCCTGGACAGGCTTGAAGCTGCTAAACTCCGGGCTGGTCATCTCTTTGTAACTCAACTTCTCGTTCCCAATCGACTTATCGTTTCTGACGATCATCCTGTCGTTCCTCACGATCAGCTGCTCGTTCGTCGCCAGTCGCTCGTTGAAATTCCTCTCGGCTGGATTCACAACTCTATCCGGGACCATCAGCCGGTCGTTCGAGTTCCTCAACCGGTCCTGAGGGTTCGCCGGTACGTCATTCCGCGCGAGCTTGTCGTTCGGCGACCAGGTGGAATGGTTCGACTGGTCGGTCGTGTTCCATATGTCCTCGTAGTCGGAGATTTTGTCCCCTGGCGAGCTCCGATAGTACGACTCCAGGATGTCTGATTCCTGATAGTGCTGCGAGTTTTTCCGGGCTTCTCTGTCTCGCCTCCGTTTTGACTTGCTCGTGCTGGATGGCGTGGTCGGTGAGAGGACGTTGGGTGTCTTGGCACCCGTGTTCGGGACTAGCTTCGACATCGGAGAGAGCACTGGAGTCGTCGGCGACAAGGGAGACTTCACGGAGAAGTTCGACGTTAGAGACTTGTTCGATGTGGCACTCTGGGGGCTCAGTAGAGAGGTGTTGGGGTCTGATGGGGTGTTCTGAAAGGGGGAAACCAGCAAATTAGCAGTGGAGACGATAGAACAAAGGAGTATAAGCTTCGCCAAACTGTATTGCACAGCACTACAGACGCGAGGGTCTAGGGAATTACTGGGCAGAGACGAATCGGTGGTACAGTAAGCAGGGAAGAGGAGTACATTTGGCAAAGTTTCTTAGTCTAAGAGTTATCAGTCGCATAGGAAACCCTTTCCCAACAGTCACCTGTGAACTACTGACGTCATTCGTGTGGTTCACATTGAACGTGACAGTGGTAGTGACGGTGAAGTTGTTCTGATTCTGTCCCAGGCCTGGCTTGGCCCACCTGGGAGGCGGTGGAGGTGGTGTCTTCACGTTCTGCCCCAGAGTATGATTCTCAGCTATGATATTCCTGATCTCTGGCAGCACAGGTGACGTGGTGCAGGAGAGATTATTGAACGTCGACACGTTCTGATGGAAGTTTGTCATGGAGGTGCTGACGGAGGAGAATCTGGTCCTGGACAGCTCTACCACCGTCGATTTCGACGTCTCAGCCGTGGTCTTCGACTCGAAGCTCACTTTGGTGTCGTGGACAGGACTCAGTACGTTGCTTTCCACATTGTGCACCACGGGGGAGGGACAACGGACGCTCTGCACCAGGTTAGGCGAGATCAGCTTCTGGGACAGTTTGTCGCCTGGCGAGATCTTCTCCTTCTTTAGGTCCAGAGGCTCGTTGAAGGTTGTCAGGTTGAGGGTGTTCGGTGGCGTTGGCCGAGGCTGTCGAGGCAACGACGAGGCGAACGTCGTCGTTGTCACGGCGGCTGTAGGCGACGAGCTTCCTGCACACGAAAATAAAGCGACGATGAGGAATTATTTTTGGTACGTGGATAGTTCTTATTTTCGTTTCGGACGGAAGATTCATTGGGTAGTAGTTGACAGGAAAGTTATTGCTGGACGTGGATTCTAGGTGACTGGGCTTGTTTTCTTATTTGGTACACGTTCCTTTTTCCTTTAACTGTGTTGGTATTTCAGTAGGTACATGCTTCCTGCTTTAAGAACGTTTCAAGGTATCTTTTTAGACATTTTATTTGAGGAAAAATTATCTCGTCTTCTTCTACTACTCTGTCCAATTAAACACGAGTCTCTGCTCTGACGATGACAAAAGGATCTCAGTTCTAACTTAATTTCTAAGTCACTCACGTGTATCGTGTGACGAAATGGGCGCCAAATTCAGCACGATACTCTCCGTCGTCGGCGTATGAATATTGTTATTGTTGTTATTCAAGTTATTGTTACCTGAAACAAACGAGAAGTATAGATATCAACGAACACGGACCAACATCTGTCATTGTCATTACTTCTAACAACGAACACTAGACTTTACTTTGCTTTATTTTACAGAAAAATCACGTGATCCATTTTCCAACTTACCACCCCGGAAACTGCTCAAGCTAGACGTGTTGCTGCTGCTGCTCTCCGGTGGCTTCGGGTTCGCCATCGGGTATCTCCAGAATTCCTGACCCAGAAGTGCCAAGGAGGAGAGCTGCTGTCTATTCTTGGCCTCGCGCATCGCCCTTGGCAGTGTCAATTGGACCGGTAATTCGTCACTGCTCCGACCAAGGGAAACAGATAAATCAGAGCGAATTAGCGGTGAAGAGGCTGGCCCGAAGCTAATCGAGACGGTAGGATAACCGAATCGTTAATGGAGCCAAGGAGGAGCGTCTGATGGAGGCACTTGGTTCGAAGCGCGTACCGGTTAACGACTACTCGACCAGTTAAAATAGCTGGTCTCAGAATCTTCCTTTTTACCGCAATTTTTATGATTATCAAAAGCATGTTCCTTTTGGAAAAATCAAAGGTGATAAAAATCAACGTTTTATAACGCGTTCTTCGGGAAGATAACGTAAATGACATGTCACTGCATTTCTACTAGCATGTATCACATTCTTTTTATGGAAAAGAATGTTTTTCATTTCGATTTTTATTTTAGTCTCAATGATAGAATACTGCGGATATACGCATTCTCTATTTTTGTTATGATACTTTAATTATTATTATTATCTACAGGTATATATATATATATATATATATATATTCGGGTACACCTTAGAAGTTGGTAGTTTTATTACGAATTTACTCTAGATTTCCAAGATTCTTTGAAGGATCGACCATTCAATAAATTTCAATTTCCAAATTCCAAATTTTCGAAGATCGGTAATTTTGTCGTAAATTACAGATCTATTGTAGAATCTTCAAAATTCCTCAACCCTAAATTTCCAAATACTCCATAAGACAGGAAAGTTTTATTTTTCATTTAATAAATCTCGATTTTCAAATTCCAAATTTTCGAAGATCGGTAATTTTGTCGTAAATTACAGATCTATTGTAGAATCTGTAAAATTCCTCAACCCTACATTTCCAAATACTCCATAAGACAGGAAAGTTTTATTTTTCATTTAATAAATCTCGATTTTCAAATTCCAAATTTTCGAAGATCGGTAATTTTGTCGTAAATTACAGATCTATTGTAGAATCTGTAAAATTTCTCGAGGAAGCAAAATTCGACAACCCTAAATTTCCAAATACTCCATAGGACAGAAACGAAGCTCTTATTTTTCATTTTTAACCTAGCAAATAGCTAGCAAATAATTTGATACTGGAACAGTTGCTTTCCACTATACTTTCTACTGCTATCCCTCTCATCCGTGCTTCATCATCCCGAATGATTTTCATTCCCTAGAGCAAGGTGTCAGTCGAAAGGATCGATGGAATTTCGCAACTGGGATGGATCCTAATTTCACACGTTTTCCTAACGCACGTTTCGTTTCCTAAACGTATGGTAATTCGGTAATTAACCTAAATCGTGCCAGTATTCCTGTCATCGGGTGGAAATCGGCGATGACACTTGGATGACAGTCATTAGACACTCGGATGATTCGCGAGGCGTCCTGCACCTTCCAACTCCTGCGTGGAAAGAGAAAAGAGGAAGGAGACGAGGAAAAGCGAGTAGCTCTGAACGATTACCGCGTTATTGGAACGGATCGGTGGAATGATAGCAGGTAAACGGGCGGAACGTTCATGAATCATTAATCGGCCCGTTAAAAGGAAAAACGGCCCGTCGATTATCACGAAAACCGGGGCTTAATAGCGCGAACCCAGCTTTCCAGAGCTCCCATTAGTCGCCTAAATTATCCTCGGACACGATCATGCTACGACTTTCACCTCGCGGATCGGCTTCACCGCGTGGACTCGCATGCTCGAGGAATTCGATAAATTATGCAACGCTACCGATCACCGTCTACTGCACGCTCTGGCTAATTATCGGTACGATCTTTGTTTCAGTACCTGAGTTTCGGTGCAACGGGATCGGTATGGTTAGATAGAGTCGATGGTGGTGATCTATTGGGAATCGTGAATTTTATATTTTCCATGATTCTGCAATCATGGTCCCCGATTTTATTTTCAGGGGTACAGTTAACTCGACGAAATTTCAAATCCAAGTTAATTTTTACTTTCTGCTATTATTTTACATACTACTAATTTTGTGATAAAATTCTTTTTATCGATTCTGTTTTTTTCAGGGGTACAGTTAACTCGACGAAGTTTCAAATCCAAGTTAATTTTTACTTTCTACTATTATTTTACATACTACTAATTTTGTGATAAAATTCTTTTTATCGATTCTGTTTTTTTCAGGGGTACAGTTAACTCGACGAAGTTTCAAATCCAAGTTAATTTTTACTTTCTACTATTATTTTACATACTACTAATTTTGTGATAAAATTCTTTTTATCGATTCTGTTTTTTTCAGGGGTACAGTTAACTCGACGAAATTTCAAATCCAAGTTAATTTTTACTTTCTACTATTATATTATTATTTCACAGACTACTAATTTTGTGATAAAATTTTTATTATCGATTCTGTGGTAGTTGAATAATTGAAGGGAGTCGAGGTACTGTCGTGGTTGCATGGTTCCCTGTGTTTGTATCAGGGGGGTGTCTCATGGGTGTCGGGACATTGTATTATCTCGTTGGAAGGGTGAATGACAGGAAATTTATTGGTTATTATACAGATGCAATTTTTTGAACTTCTTTTTGTGATATTTGGGATGCTTTTGTTGTCATTTACCAATTTGTATTATGTATCGTTTATTGGTTATTATACAGATGCAATTTTTTGAACTCCTTTTCGTGATATTTGGGATGCTTTTATCGCTGTTTACCAATTTGTATTATTTTTATTAGGCATAGGATTCACTAGGGGTGTTATTCCTAGCTATAGTATTTAATTCTTCTAATTCTTGTAATATAATAATTAGGATATTTAATGCGATATTAAATTTTTAGAATTTTTTAATTAATTTAGAATATTTAGAAAATTTATTCCGATTGTTACAATCCACTGTGTATTATTTTTCTCGTGTATGGGATATACGAGGAATCGTACTTTTCTATTTAGATCTTTCCTTCCTAACATGCATCGTGGATTACATTACACGCGTATTGCGATTTATGAGATGCACTTATGAGATCGTATCTTGCTAAATGAAAGTCTATTAGTTACCTTATTCTGCTTCGAGAATTTTCCACGATATTTAGTATATTTTTCAGCACGGTAGAAGCTTCCTTTTCACTACCCACTATGCACTACCTTCTCTCTCCATAAAATACAATAGAGATCGTATCGTTACCCATCCCATCCGAGTTTCAAAATTTTCCATCTCGTTTAAAATATTCCTCAGGACACTTTGCTCGAGTAGAAGCTTCTTTGCCAGCACCCACCACGCACTATCTTCGCTATCCCATAAAATACACCAGAGATCGTATCGTTACCCATCCCATCGAAGCTTAAAAACTTTCCATACAATTTCGAATATTCTCCAGGATACCGCGCCCTCGAGTAGAGGCAGTTTACCCTTTCTGCGTCCATCGTGCATCATTTTCGTCGTCCACCCGATACTCCGGAGATCTACTCCGGTACCTCTACACTGCGAGGAAACTTTAGGAGCAGATACCCGGCGAAGATCGAAAGGGCAGATTGGTGGAGATTTTTGCCGAAGTCGAGAAGGAACTGGTAGCAAATAAATGGCGAGGAAGGAAGTGGCGATAGCGGAGGTAGCAGAAGACAAGATGGTATCCGGTGGAGTGGAAGGCGAACGCGAAGAGAGGCCACTCACCAGCACTGAGAATAGTGGGCGATCAGCGAGGGGATGTTGTCGAACCTGTTCTCGCTGGTCTCCAAGCTCAGCTTCCCCTTGTTGGCTTGGATCAGGTAGTGCTCGATGTACGGTCCCTTTCCTGGTGGCAGCCGCACGGACAGGGCCATCGTGTCGCTCTGACTCGACTGTCGGACCACGAAGTTCTAGAAACACGAAGAGGAAATCAGAAACGCGCCGACCTTTCCAACGTTTAACCCGAGTCCAAGCACCTGGCTCACCGACCAGTCCAGCCACACTGACCGGTGCCTCCTGCGGACATTTTGCGTCGGTGAGTGTGCCAATCTTTTACACTAGCTTTCACCTCGTATCCTTTCTAATCAAATATTCTCCGCCATTCTTATCGCTTATGTACATACAAATGTAACTACGTGCGATATATCCACGAGTCTGGCTCGTGATGTTCACGTTGGGGCCGATTTTCACTTCACGCGTCTGGCCCGTGATATTCACGTTTGGGCCAAAAGGTTCATCACGAGTCAGACTCGTTAACACGTTGACTGCCACGCAACTTTGATTCGATTATGTTATGTTATATTATGTTATATTATCAAACACTTTATTTATAGTACATAGTAATGATCAAAAAGCTTAAAAAATGTTTTTTCTTGAAGAAAAACATGTTACGAATTATCGTAGTTGGAGTGCAAGATTGTTTTAAAAATGATCGCAAATAAAAATATTATTCTGCGCGAATAAACTTGTATAAACTTTTTCTTTTTGAATTGTACTTCAGTTATACTACGGGTTTCCTCGTAGCTGCAGAAATATGGCGAATAATGAAGGGACGAGATAACTCGTAGTAGGCATCTTGGGCAAGGAAATAACCTACGAGATATCTCGTAGTTCGCAGTCAACGTGTTAAAGTATGGAAAGGGGCTGTTCACAATTTTATTTTGATGCTGAAATATTTTTAAATCAAATTTTATCATTTCACGAATAATTTCTGAAAAAGATATTGTGCAAACAGTGAGATTGCAACATACGTAGTAAGAAGAAAATCGCAGGATTACATTGGTAAAATTGGGAAATAATTCAACGATATATACGACACTTACGATAGACACGTATCGTAGATATGGGCCGTGGTGGCGCTAGTGAGTTAAGTGGAAAACCGTCTTGAGACCGCCGAAACTTACTCGTGGAAGCTTATTTGTAATAAAAACACTTATTGGGGTACATTTATCCTCACTTAGAGTCATTTAAATAGCTCAACCCGGATCTCCACATAAATACACATTCTACGCAGCAAAGGGGAAGGGAAAAGGAAAGGCTTGCTCGTTCCCATTTCGCTCCATAAATTTCCGAATCCTGCTGTCTCTAGGAAAGAATAACCGCTGTTGCTTCGGGAGGAGGAAAAGCTCGCTGGAACAGCGCGTAAAACCGCGACACATAAAACACGTTGCATAATTCCCCGTCGCTTTTCCTCAGCCGGAAATCCACGTCCGCGTCGATAGAGGCGCTCGGTTCGCCGACTGACGTTCGCCGGGGCAAAAGGAGACAAAGCTACGGAGAAGAAAGGCAGGAAGAGGCCAAGCTTCTTTATGCGCCGACCCGTTTCTCTCCGCTCGTTTTCTTTCCTTTTTTGGCGGGACAAAAACTCCCCGCCGGAGGCAGAGTTTGTTTTAATCTCTGAATCGATGCTTTTCCCCTTTGTCCCTCTGTCGGGGAAACGGGGTCTAAATGAGAGTCGTGTTCGAGGTTTGATTTCGCCAAGCTCGACTCGAATTCTTGCTTAGGTTTTATTGCACGATTCCTTGCAAATTTTTCCAAGCCTTTTCCTCGAATTATAAAAGCTGGGAAAAATCTACTTCCTTTCCGACTCAAACCTAACCTAATTTCAGCTTGTTAAGGTGCGCGTGATCGGTCACGTGATTGGTGTTACAAGTGCAGCTATTGGTTGACTCGCGAGTGCTTCAGGGATGGCTATCGAAAGTTCTGCTCCCTATTCTTTTCGAACCTATCAGGAATTAAATCACCGATTTTAAATTAATCATTTTTTCAATCCATAATTGTAAAATTATCGACAGAAATTCTACATTCGATATTATCTTTGCGATTTTTTCTTTTTTGTGCAGTATATGTGTAAATATTTTCCAATGTCTCTCGTTATTCTACTTTTTCTAAGTTTCTATTTCTCTTTCATTTGATCGTGGTAGGTTCAGTGTTATACGAAGTCTGGTTCACAAAAGTAGCTCCCTTTTCTACATTTTCAATTCCAAGTCGAAAATTCCCCAAAATTTACTTAATTTTTCAACCGTAAATCAGAAGATTCGAGAAAAATTGCCTTGACGATCATCGTATCACATGTAAATTAAAATTAAAAGATACGTATATCGAAAATTAATGATCCTGTCCTCGTCACGCATCAGCACATACATCTGACTAATTTACTTAATTTCTTAAACGTGTTTAAAAGATTCGAGAAGATTAATGATCCCGTTCTCATCACGGACCAACCACGTACCTGGTTTGTTACCTGGTCCGGTTAAGTACCCAATCTTAATTTCAAAAATCCATCCGTACACTTCTCTCCCATCATTTCATCCCTCTGCTTCCAGCGACAAATACGCCTCCATAAAAATCACCGTCATAGAGAGGAAATAATTTCAAAAACTCCAATCTTCCCTCTCCCTTGCGATTGCAACCCCCGCAGCCATCGTCACGCACTCATCCACTCGTCCAGGATTCCATCCATCCGCGCTGGTCGCGATAATTTCAGCTCGCAGCCCTCTCCATCTCCGCGGATACGCCGTTTCGCGCAATCACCATCGCGCTTCGACATGGCGGGGGTGGCGCGGGGGTGCAGTCTCGTCTATGGAGAAGTAATTGCGAGCCGCATTGTTTTTCGGCCGGCGCAATTCGTCCGCGGCCGCGGGGGCAGCCGGGGGACGATTAACAAAGCTGGAAAACAATGAGCCAGCGGGAAAACAATGCAGCCACAATGGCACGGCTCGTTCGCTGCCGTTCCACCCCCGCTGATTACACCGTCGCGCGCCAAGCCCCGGCAGTTTTCCGTTATTCGTTGGAAAAGAGAGTGGAAAAAGTACCGCTCGCTATGAAAGAATCGCTGGAAAGTGACTGGGTACGGGACCATCCTCGTCGGCCCCGGGACATCGATTGGGGTGGTCTCGTGGATGTCGCGGAGGGGTTGCACGCGCTCTTTTTAATCCGAGTGGCTTTGGTTCTCGTGCAGCTTCGGGGAGAATTCGGTAACTATTTTGTTACATCGTGGGATTATTTGCAGGACTTGTTTATTACAGGTATTACAGTTTTGGTACGTGATTTAGGTTCGTGGGGTCTCTTATGCGAGTGCGTGAATCGTCTGTTCTGGTGGTGCCTCTTATAGGGTAGACCGAATAGCAGACTTCAGGTTTTTAAATTTCCCAATTCACCCGAAATTTAAAACCGAGAAAATAATTTTAATCTTCGTTTATTATCGGGGAGAAAATAATGAAAGAATAACTATTATTCCATTTAGCCAAGAACCTTTAGCCATAATTGTATTTATATTTTAATAAAAGTCACTACTATTTTCGTCAAAAGCTACTGTACCTTTTTAAAAATTGTAAAAATAAAATATCACAAATAGAACATTATGTTCGATCGGTAGATCCTGTAGTTAGCATAAATTTGTTATATTCGTGGAATATTTTAATTGCTATCGAATCGTCGCCAGAATTACCTAAATGTAACTAGAATATATCACATAACCTGTGCTCAGTTATTCTTCTAAACGGTGACATAAAAGGTATTTCATACCTTATATATCTAATTAAAAAAATAAAAAAGAAAATATGTTTTTCGGAAAAATCTTGAATTACCCAAATGTAATTAGAATAAGTCACATAATCAGTGTACAATTATTCTTGAAAACGATGATATGAAAGGTATTTCATAGATATTTAATTAAAAAAGTGAAAAATATGAACAAGATTTCCATATTCTTTGGAAACATTTTGTTTTGAATATATATTTTATTCGTCATGGACGAGTTATGCCACACAGCCTATGTAATAATATACCTAAGCTCGAGTCCGTCATACTTCGAGCCGGCTAAATTAATTGGATTCAGGGGATCACGGGACTTTCTCCAGCAGAGCGTAGATCGGGGACCAATCGATCCCACGTTAAAAGAGACACTCGACCCGGTCTCGATTCGCCATTTTCCTCGTCGCGATTCTTATCACCGTTCGAGTCGTTACTCCATCTTGACCCGATCTTTAATTTTTTCACGAGCCTTTATCTATTCTTGATCTCGTTTTCGAGCATAAAGCCACGGGACAGAGGCTTGACCCTGCTTCCATACAGGCTTTATCACGGGGAAACCACGATTCCATCTTGATACAGTTCCAAGAGGATCTTGACCTCGCTGCTGCTTTCGCCTCCATGGCTCCTCGTCTAGGCCAGATCTCGTTTTCGAGTGCTCGGCTTGACACGGTCTCCCAAGTAATTTGAACGTTATTACTTAGGAATAATTTCGTTGGCAAACGCGAGTAAAGATCGCTTAATCCTCGTCGAAATAATCGTCGATGTCGTTTCATATCTGATCAAAAATGGGGACTATTCGCATAATTATTCGAGTCTCAAATGTATTGTCATGAAGGAAAATAAGTGACAATTTTCCTTCAATTTTTCACTTGTTTATTTTCTACCCTCTAAACTGGAAAATTCTAAACTGGAAGTAGGGATAGCCAGGAAATTTATCGATCAACGATCTAGCGATCAAATATCTGAGAAAATATAATATTTTTACGCGAGAACGTGTAAAAAGGTACTCGGTTATTGACACGAAGATTAAATTATCCTAAGTGCTATTTAAATTGATCTATCTCGTTCAGTATTGTAAGAAGATTTATGGAGTTATACTCATAAGAATACTTTAAGAGCTGACGTTTTAAAAATTACACGGACGTCGGTGAACCAATTTTCGAGTGGAAATTAGCCTAATCAAAAAGTTCTGGATAAAAAAGAATGATATTTACCAAAAACTTATATTCCAAAAAATTCTAAAAAATTCCAAACTTCGTTCCACATTGACAAACTCTGTTCTCTTTTACAGGGAACAATATTCTTACTACAACAACCGTAACAAAAGACTCCATTTCCAATTTTCTGCCAGTAATAAATTCACTTATTATTGACA